TAGAATTACTTCTATGCACAAGAAAATTTGTTCACATTTGTAATTTTTCTTACTGAGATATACATATTAAATACCTTCCAGATTCTCGAGTGATTTCTTTTTATTCTAATATCTGACAGGTAAACAATTGTGTGGATGTTGATTAATATTTTATTAGATATTTTACATCTGTGCTGACTTAATATTTTAAAATATGTCCTCACAAAATTTCAACCCTTCAAACTTGAAAATGTTTAACATATTAGTGATTATTGATATTTCTTTATTGAGATATGTTAGTTTGTCATATAATTAATTTCATCTTTTTATTTGGCAATCATATTAATAAATACAAATTGTCCATAGAAAAAAAAACATGGGTGAATAACAAAAGTCATGTAGATTTAAAAAATGCAGATATGGCTGTTTTTTTATTTTTTATTATTATGAACTAATTATGTATCAAACACTTTCATTCAATATTAAGATTATGAACATGACAACATCTATCCTTAATCAAAAAGACAGATTTTATTTATAATCCCTTACTTTTCTTTATGTACACATTACAACACCTAGCTGTAATCAACTGCTACCAGTGTAAGATTTTCAAACAAATGATAGTCGACCTCCAGATGTTAATTAATCAGAGATTGTAAAGGGATTTGATTTCTGTCTTGGAAATGCAAGAGAAATAAAGTTCAACAAGTGGATTTTTTTTATTTATTTCTGAAAATGTTTATAACAAGCTGATCTTGATTCATTCATCAAAAATAGAAAATGAAAAACAATGCCAATTATAGAACTTGTTCAAATATATTGGCAGATGATATTGTGGGATTATCCCGTCTTGTTTGCAAGAAAACTAACGCCCGCTAGGTAGTGTTGTTGTATAAGGCAATATAAAAGGAAAGAGCACAAACTCTTTCTTTCTCTCTTCAACTACAGGATGCTGTAGTGACAAGACATATCTCATTTACCCTCTAGAGATTAATAAATCCACCAAACCATGTGTCATATAGCATACAATAACACAATAATATCACTACACTATCTCCTGTTCAGAAAAACCTCATGCAACCACAATAATATCTCCACTACAATCTATCACAGACACGCATTACATATATATACATATATCTCCAACACGAGAAAGTAACAAACAAGAAAATGCCACAACAAACTGATAACTCCTGTAACAAATTGATACCCTAATGCCATTATAAGTGTTTCAAAGAGATATTGTCTGTAACATTCTCACCCACAGTAGAAGGTTAGTAGTCTGTTATTAAAAAATGAACTTTTCTCTCCTTTTCTAAACTATGTTACACCTAGTTCTGTATATAATATATATTAAATCTAGCTATGTGCTGAATTCATAATTTTCTCATTTTTATTAGGGAAACTCCTCACATAAATATTAACTTTGATCCCTTCAATGTCTTTGTCATTAATGCAGGATTACCAATATTTTGAAATATTATATAGATTTCCAAATGATACTACCCAGATTTTTGGGGGAGGCAGAGAGGAGTTCTAAAGTGAATTTTTGGTTTCTGAACATACAATTACAAAACATACTTTTGATATCCTCAAATTAGACATAATTTAGCAGAAGTTATTTACAACAATAAAGACTTACAATGAGTCAATCAAATTCTTTTCATGATAAACACTTTCATGTCAAGATGGATATTCATAGAAGTGTGCATGATAGCTTCATGCTTAAAACATTGACTAAAAAAAAGTTATTTCCTGTCCAGAGAATTAGACATTTCAAAGCTCAACAGCCAGCTTCAATTTCTTTTGAACCTTCATTGATGTCACTGAAGTGGATCAACAGAGACATTAAAAGACATTTTACATTCATTTTAAAAAATAAAATAAAATAAAATAAAATAAAATAAGTAATCTATTTTTCTTTTATTGACTTTCAAACATTAAATGGTAGACTCAATTTATGGAAGAATTTGTGCTTCCAAACTCTGTAAACAGAAATGGTTAAAAAAGAAAAAAATTATGGAAATTTACGAAAACAAGATTATACATAAAAGAGATACAACAAAAAAAATGCATCTCCCCACCCCCATGGGCAAAATTTCAGAAATAAAGTGTTCAAATTTGTACAGACCTTGAATGAAATTTACAAATTGTATGATGACTTTTGAATCTCTTATCTGAAAAGTTGGGCTTTTAAAAAGGTCATGGATTATACAATTTATCAAAATCTTAGGATGCTTATTTATTGAAGCAGTGTTGTATCTGTTAAGTGGGCAATGAAAGATTTTATCACCCAGTAGGTTAAGCAACATCTCCTTAGCTGCTTCCTGAATGGGTAAAATTTATAAGACAACCAGATACTATTTAGTGCATAATTTTTTTAACAAAAAAATGTTTAGCTCAACATTCAATTCTTATAGGAGCAAATGAAAAAACATTTTAAATTTTGAATAAGAAAAAGTTACAGTAATTATAGATATTCTTATGACTGCAAATTGTTTTAGCTTATAACATCTAAATGGGTCATACAAGTTCCATTTCTATTGTGAATGTGATGAAACCAAATATTCTTTATCACAGATTGAGCTTTCACAAACTAAAGAAACATTTTTAAACTGATAAAAAAAAAAAAATCTATAAATAAAGTTGTTTTTTTTATCTCTTTCAAAATGTAGAAATAACTACATAAAACTCATAAGCTGTTGCTAATAGACCTCAAACTTCAGAAAGTGTACATTTTGGATTTCTTTTCTGAAGACATTTGAAGTTTAATTTAAAATTCAAAGCTGCCACATATTTGGAAATTTCCAAGAATAAATATTAAGAAAAAAAAAAGAAGCCAAAAATGAAGATTTTGCAACCTAAAATTAAATTTAGCAGCAAATACAACAAGTCACTCAATAACTTATCTGTTTAAACAATTGAATTTAAATTGTTCAAATGAAAAGTGATTTAAATTATTAAAAAATATTCATAAACAAGATTTTGGATTTCATAAATGTTTGATTTTAATTTCAGATTAGTGATTCTCAAGGTCAATTTTTCAAAAGTAGTTTTTTAAAATTTCTTTTTAATCAGATTTCTTTTAAACTGCAGTCATCACTTTTACAATCTCATCAAGTTTAAGCCCAACAAAGAGATTATTTGAGGGTATAGAAATATATTGTTAAATCCAATCTACATTCTCTCAACTATATATTTTGAAAATATTTTAAAATTCATGGTGGGCATGAGCAGATTTTTCAAGATTTTAAAAATATAAAATAAAATCATATACACAAATATTAATAAATGATAAAAGCAAGTTTGAAAATGCAACCTTAAATTTTTCTAAAATCCAATCTTACCTTCTGTACAACTGGTCATGTGACCAAATATACTTCCTTATCCCATTCCTGAAATGTTTTTTTACTTGTACAATTTAAATTGATTTATTTTCAAAATTTGCTCTTTTCAGCTTGTTACATTTTATTTGTAATCTTGATAAATTGTAAAAATAAATTCTAAACAATCTTTTTAATTAACCAATTTTGAACCTTTTATTTTTTTTATTTAGCATTCAAATCTCATGCCCCCAATTGACCAGTCTAGTAAGAGAATTAATTAAATGATAATTCACAATAGACAATTCTTTTAATTAATTCTATGCCCTCAAAATTAATTCACTTGGCCTTATAAAAATAAAGGGATTACTTATATACATGGAGTAAATTTTTGCATAGAATAAAATAAGAATCAGTAATTGATTGCTCGGATATAGAACCAATATATTTAATTGAATGTTTTTGATCAACTTATACAAAGTTTGTGGTTCAGCTTTCAGTAATGGTATTATAAAAAGGTTTCATTAGATTGGAAGCAATAATTATGGTTTTCTGGGACAATGATGTGGTTGGGGTGATGAAGCTTCATTTCCTTAAATTTTTATAGTTTATGTCTTAAAAATACAATCATAGCAATAACAAGAGCTTGCTTTTTTATTGTTAATTTTAAAGGCAAATTGTTTGCAGTTTTACACAAAATATTCAAACCTTTTAGAATCTAAAATGAAAGTACCAATTACTTTTCTATCTCAACTAATACCTTGATTTTTTTAATTAAGAAAAAAGAATGAAAACTATGCAGTTAACAGCATTACTAAACTCAGCAAGAATACTGAGGAAAGTACTGAAGAAACTTGCTGTCACATGATCTCCAGTGAAAGTTACTATACACTACGACATGAAAGCTTTACTAATAATTTTAGTTTAGTCCTCAAAGATATATTTTCATATTCCAGTTACTTAATATTCACTTCAATTTGTACCAATATTTATTGCACATTTTTAAATTTTAATTACTTTTATTTAATTCTTGGAAAAAGAAAGAAATAGAAAATTCAAAAAATAAACATTTTCTATTAGCAAAAGATAACATCAATAAATAAATCTTATATATTTTTAATATATTTCCACAAATTACTCAGCTAAAAATCATGTTAATGCTAAACAAAGTTGGTTTACTTAAACTATGGAGGTTAAACAACATTTTTAAAATTCAATCTTTAATAAAACTTTGTATTTTCGTTACAAAAAATAAAAAAAATAAGCAAACAAAACATTTTAGGCAGAAATTCATATCTAATTTTGAGGAATTTTTAAATTTCACTCACAAAATGATTCTGATTACCTGTAGTTAAATAAACTTTCAGAAAAATAAAAAAGGTGAGAAAATATTGCAGGAAAGAAAAGGTGAGAGATTGAAGGTGCTGGTCTTACTTGTCTTGATAGAACTGACAACAAAAATCACAAGTTAACTTTTAAACAAGAAAACAATACAATGACCAAACTTTAACCTAAGTCTCAACCCTACATTGTGACTTCTTGCATTAGTGACATTTTTTTTCTTTCATTCCATTTTTCTGTTTAAATAATTCATTTATTCTTTTGCATTCAAAGCATTTTAGCAGAGTAGAGAGTTAATCTGATTTTTATTTTAAATTCTTTCTAATGCTTTGAATTTGCTTTTCTTCCTTCTTTATCCTAAATGCCTTCCCGAATCACAAATTCTGCAGGGAACATTCCAGTTCTGCCCTCAAAGGAACCTCTACTCCATCCTGGAAGGTTAGGCACATCACCATGACAGGTAATTATGGCTCCACTCTAAAACAAAAAATAAAAACACCTTTAATCTCTAAGAATAAAAATCAATAACTGCATATTAGTCAGTTATATAATTTCACAGATACAAGTGCAAATATTTTTAATACTTCAAATAAAAGCATCATATCTGGGAGTTCATTCATTTGTTCAGAAGATACTTTATATGGCATAAATTTACTCTGTAGATTTTTATTAATCAGGACAAAAATATGACATGTTTCAGGTATACAGAAAAGTTCTCAGTTTAACCTAGAAGCACTTCCAAAATAATTCTGTTATTTTGTCTTATGATCAAATAACAATTATTTTTTAGAAAATAGGTTTATAGCCCCCACCCTTTCATACATATGCATTTATATTGATAATAACCTTTACTTTTCCATACATTTGTTCATATAATTTATTTAATAGCATTTATTTCTCCATCTGATTCATTATTAAATTAGGCAAGAAATAATTTCTTTTGGAGACACCCAATCATCAGTTTCTTAATATTTAAATTAATTTAATCTTTAATGAGATAAATGAAAACTTAATTTGTTATACATCTAGTTCAGCTGCTTTTAGCAAACTTTAAAATATCACAAGCTTAAGTGCATCCTTTCAATCTATTGAAAAACAAAATCACTTAAATAAACTATAAAATTAGGTAAATTAGCAAAATATCATGTTTTAGTTATTAAAAAACAGTGATCTATTTAGATCACTGTTTTGTTTCTTTCTTTTTACACTTTCATTGGTTGCTCCAGTTACAAGTATTACTTCAATTCAAGAAATTTGTTGATCTGAACTGTTGAAACTAAAAGTCATGCCCGGCCAATTCATATATTAAATAACAAATGGTGATTTTTTTCTTCTTCAATATAACTTTACCTTAAATGAGAGTTCATCATCAGCGGATGCAATGAAGTCATGTAGAGCCCGGACCTTGGTGGTTTCAGAGGTGCAATTTTCTTCTGTAAAGCAAAAGGAAAGAATTAGAATTTGGAAGAAACAATTTGAATTAATAATTAAAATAAAATAAAAATTTGAATTCAAGATTAAGCAAAATTAAGCAATTTTTTATATGTATTGCTATTAAAAAATAAAAAGTATGAAAGTTATAATATTAAAAAAACTACAGTAACTATCTCCCCACAAAAAAACTGAAGCACTGCATAATTTTATGGCAGAACCAACAAATGTACCTATTAAGGATAACAACACAGTTCCCTGTATATGACAAAAATAGTTTAAAGATGTTCTATATAGTCTTACAAAGTTACAAAACATGAAATACAAAACAAGGTAGATCTCATTCAAAAGATACTGATTGAGAATAAGAATTCAGAATATCACTGAAATATTTTAATATAAAGCTTATAATTTTTAGAAATATCTTGTGGTGGTGGTGGGATTGGGGAGAGGTAAGTTTTTTGGGGGGTTTTTTACTTTTATTTTAGTGGTATTAAAAAATTAATAAAGTATTATACAGTATTTTGAATAAATGGAGACATGTGTAAACCAAATATGAATGAGTAGAACAAAGATTAGAAAGATAGATTTCCAATGTCTTTTTTTTTTTTTTTTTAACAAGAAAAAAATCCATATTTGCAAGTTTCAATGCCTAAAGCTCTTATTCATGCTGCATATTCAGAATCAAAGAATTATTTTTAAACTAAAGAAAGGAAAACATATAGACTGTTGTTTTTGCAGTTTTTTTAAATATTTAAATAAATACCTATGTTTCATATTTCTTTTTTTATGTGAGGGGAGGGACCACTTCTTATGTATGGCCTGAAAAGTATATAACAAAATCCAAAGTTTTTTTTAATATATTATTATAAAGGATTTCAGTGTAAAAAATGTCTTCCTTTTTCCAGTTGTGACAGGAGAATTGTTTATTACATGTTTGCATCAAATTAAAAAAACATTCTAATGAAAAATAATAATCAGCTTTTTTCTGAAAAATTTCCACAATAGCAACAATCTACTTACAATGTTTACTTGAAAAAGAAAAATAAATAAATAAAAGTTAAACATGTGTAATACCAACTTTGTGATGAATGGTATACAGTGGTTTTTTTTTTGGGGGGTGGGGGTAAGAAACTAAATTATTTATAACTTCTATTTATACTCAAAGCAATAGTTTACATTTATTCTTCTCCCATGAAAAAATATAAATCAATTATTTTTCTTATTAAAAAGAATGTTTTGCAAGAGTATTTCTACTCGAGTACTAATAAAATTCATACTAAACCCTGGGTAGGGATATTAAGTGATTTTATGACTTTCTAAGAGTAAAGCACAAGCATCATTTTTGTAAAAGAAAAAAAAAAAAAAAAACTACAAACTGTTTGTTTTAAATATCCCATAATGCTTTGAAATATATACAAAAGGAAATTCTGAAAAGTCTTCAACCTGACCAAAAACCCTTTAAAAAACATCTGCTTAGTTATTAGGTCAGAATTTAAAAAATGGGTCAGAACAAAACCTTTTCAGGACATTCTTAAAAAACAAATAAATACATACAAAACATAAATGATAAAGAATTTTAAAAATAATTTAAAAAAATAATAAAACATCTACAAAATATTTGGGAAGAGTAGAAAGAATCTGATTGAAAGAAAAGAAAGATAATGAAAAACATGAATACAGAAGAGAAAAAACAAAACAAAAAAAAAACAAGAATGAAAGATTCATGAAGGTGACATACCATCAGGTGAAAATTCTTCAACAGACACAAAAGCTGCTGGAAAGATTCCTTCCTTTTTATGGAGGGATCCTCTGATCCAGTCATTGTTCACAAATTCTAGAATTTCAATCCGGTCTCCATCTTTAAAGCTCAACTCATCATCGTCTCTGGCCTCAAAGTCGAAGCGGGCACAAGCAAAGCCCTTCAAGCGTTTGACGTGTTCTAGCTGAGCGGCGACATAAGTCAGTAGCTGGTCAGTTTTCTGACAGACAGACATAAATGGTTAGTGTGTCTAAAGGGTTAGTCCTTACAGGTCATTTGCCTAGGATGTCTGCCAGCTTTGTTAGTTAGTTAGTAACTTTCTTGGGGGAAGCATGCAAAAATAGAAGAAATGTGTATAGGCCAATAGTTCCCAATTAGATGCCAGAGTTTGAAAATTAGGTTCACTTGATTTTTCTAGTTACTTGTGACATATATCTAATTGAGTTTTAGTCAAAAGGAAAAAAAACCCCCAAAACTGCAATTTTGCCAACAAAGGTTTGAAAAGTTCTTCCACTTATTTCTCTATTCCATACATCTGTATAGAAAACTATATATATATATATATATATATAATATAAGCAATAACTAACTAGTAATCATTTGAACTATTAAATGCAACAATCATACTTGTGTCTATAGACTTAGGATATCTTATAACAGTATAAATCCATCAAAGATAGAAAATGGATAAGAAAACATTATTAATAAATTAAATGTTTTTTTAGAATGTACTGTCAAATGTAAAACAAAGTTTTTGAAGAAAACATTAAGAATGAGGTTGCATAAAAAATTCAAAAGAAATCTCTAGACATGAAAAATTGGGAACCATTTACAAGCAAATATGACAGACAAGTCCAGCTGGCAATTGAATATTAAAAGGAAACAAGTTTAAATTTTAAATAAAACTCAGAAATTTCTTTAGACTCATATTTTCTTTTTAGATAAAAGTCACATTTCAGCTAATGCATTGCCAATTATGAAGAATGCAGACAATGGAGAGTGTTCAATTATAATGCTACCAGTGAAAGCTTAAACATGAAATTTCAAGTTTTCTTAACAACATATTTTACTGAAGGAACTGGCACTAATGCTAATCCTTTTACCTATTTTGGTTTACACTTAAAATACATGTAATAATGATATTCACTAGGAAAAAGACATTGTTTCAACTATTTTTACATCTATTTTAATCAAACTTTTCACATTATCTTTAAATGAACTAAATTTTTACATATAAAGAATTCTGAAAGCATTTTTTAGATCCAGTCAGTTAATTATTGCAAGATAATGGTTGTCATATATAATAAATAGGGTACGATTCAAATGATTAATGGATTCATTTTCTACAGCCTATCAACTTTTTGCAGGTTATTTAAAGCTAGAAAATATTTTTAGATTGTAAGATCTTTTTTAAGATAATAATGATTTAGTGATACAAGTCTTACTAATTAACCGACAGCTAGAGGTAGAAGAGATAGATTCATACATTTCCCATGAGTATCTATGCATAAGTGAATGTAATGAACCCAATTGGAATTGGAACTCAGCTCTCCAATCAACAATTCTGAATCATTATCCATTACACCATCTGCACATCCATGCTTACAGGATCTAGTATTCCTAAGCAGTCACCCACCTAGGTACTGATCAAACTCAACATTGCTTAACTGTGATGATCATATGGGAATCAGTGTTTCAAAGTGACATAGCCATAAGTCGGTATGATTAAAAATTATTGTTTATCTGTCCTTAGCCATGCAAACAGTAAAATTAGGATTTTATGCAAATGTCTCCAGATAATTTTTCTTTTTAAATTTAAAAAAACTCTATTGGTGATAGAGTAAAAAAATATTTAACTACTTTCCATGATAAATAATCACGCCACAATGCTACATCAAAATATAAATCTTATTCCAAAGCTATTAAAGCCAACACGAAGAAGATAGATCTTTAAGTCAGTGGTTATCTATTAACAATTACTCTCCGCAAGTCAAGAAACAAGTATGTTATCTATCCAAAATCAGATTGACTTTTTATTATCATGTCTTTTTTTGACAAATAGAAAACAATGAAGTCATTTGGAAATGAATCAATAATAGACAATAAATTTTTAAGGGACTTGAAAATGTGACCATGCAACAATATAAATTTTAATCTATATAGATTTTAAATTTTGTACATCGAAGAGGAGACAACTCTACAATTTCCGGATCTATGCTTCACTTCCAGATGAAATTGAAGTAATAACATTTTGGTTCAATCTCAACTACAAATATTAGAAAAAGGTGAAATAAATTACTGAATTTTTATTCCATCAATATAAAAAAAACAAAAAACTAACATTAAAATTATAATTCACTCTCCAACTTTTGTTTTGAGTGACAGACATAGCAATCTGATGAATTCTTTAAGACTAAAGGAAGAAATGTTTTATCATCTATTTTATTCAATGAAAGAGATGTACAAATATTAATAAACCAACTAGTTAACAAGATACTGCCATATTATAACTAACAAAGTGATTATACCTAGACAATTAGTGATTGGCTGCCTACTTCTAAGCTGTGAGATATAGGATTAAATTTTGATGTGATTTTCATAGAATTTACCCCAAAGATCATAATTGTTATGTGTAATTTCATTGTTGAATTATTCACTGGCTTTCTTAATATGTACAAAGTAAATTAAAAAAAATTGTACTTACTGAATTCTAAATGTATCTTCATTTATTTTACTTTATTAAATATTTAGTTAAAATCCCACAAATCTTATCCATGCAGTATACAGCAGAAATACCTCCCAAATATACTTCCTAAAAATACCTCCCACATGATGGTAAGACATTAGTGGCAACGGTGTCTTCATCTAAGTAATGTCTTGCTATTATGTCACACCCTGTATTAATACAGTCAGCAAGGATAAATCATCAAATATGTTCTAAGAATTTAACTTTATTTGCTCAAAACATTTACAGAAAAACAATGTGTAATATAATTACTAAATAATTGTAGACAAATTGCACAGAGATTTATGCTAAATTTCTCTTCATTTGAAAATTGTTAGGATTTATTTTATGAGAGATAAAAAGATAATCAATACATATGACTATTACATTTTATTAATTTTGGCTATTTTGGGGTCTTCATTAAAAGCAGAAAAATATGTCAATATGAAAAATGTAATTAAATATTCTTAGAATTTTCTATTTTATATCTTTCAATTATTATTATTTTTAGGTTACTGACTGACTTCTGACCACTTTATTTGTTTGATGTTTGTTTATACATTTGATTTATAAATTTATATATATATATATATATATATATATATATATATATATATATATATATATATATATATTATTTTATTATTAAAAGGCAAGCAAGCATGGAGATGACAGATGTGTAATAATACAAGAGCCAATCAAAAAATTGATAACTGTTCTAATTTACAAAGTATTAGTTAAAATCCCTAGGTGCATTTTGGCTATAAACCATAAAGTGTCTAGAAGCCCAGGGGTTACTTTTCTGAACAAAACAGAGAGCAAAGAGTTGTTATAGAATTTTGGTTTTTGGAAAAATAAAATACTGTAAATATTCACATGACATTACTGACTACAAAAAGGCTGAATTTGATATAAGCCCAGTATGTAGATGATTCAGTTGAGTTGATATGAATCTGAGAAAAATGGAGAAACTGACCTTAATCACAGGCCTTACAGTGGCAGGCCAGCTCCTGCTGTAAATGAAAATATAGCCAAACAGGCTGATGCTCTCATTACAGCTAAGAAGAATTCCTATTTCAAATCTGTGAAAGCCTTCAAGTAGTGTCTGTAGTTTAGTGCAATTTCTTACATACACAATACTCTGAATAAAATAATTTCTCAAAATGCTAACAGACTCCATGACACCCTCTGACTTTTAGGTCTATGAAAATGGTAATCAAAGGACAGCATTTCTCCAATAGTGATAAGGTGAAAGAGGCAACTTGCACATAACTAAGAAAGTAGTTGAAAAGCTTCTATGAGTTAAGTATGCACACCTTTATTCAAAAATGGAATACCATGATTGCAAAAATATGAAGATTATACTGAGGATTAGATTTTTGGCGTCTATTAAATTTGTTATAATTAAAAAAGAACATGTATTACTTTTTGACTGGCTCTCATAGAATCCAATGCATCTTGATGCAGTTGATTGATTGCGCAGTTTAGCAGATGGGATTATTAATGTGAAATTAAGCAAATGCAAGAAACATTGGACATAGGAAGAATTTAAATTTCTTTTTATCGGGAATAGATCTGACAAGTAATTGTGTGATTGAAAAATATACAAGCAAAATTTCAAGCAAAATAAACACATTATTTCATATAGAATTTGAAGTTAAACAGTATAAAATATATTCCTAAAATATACTTGTATATATTCAGTGGATTAAACAATAAAGATAATGAATTACATATTTTTTCAGATTAATGAAATTCTTAGGTTATAAAACAAAAAAACAAAAAAATCAAGTCTCTTAAAAAAAATTTAAAAAAATGAATTTTTGCAAAACAACTTTAGGTCTGCAAGTGAAATCATTTTTCTTGTTAATCATATTTTCCAGAATGATTTTCATTTACTCTTTCATCTAAACAAATATATTTATAACATGTACATATTATATAAATATGCAAGTATATACATATTTATAGATCCACACTACATTTACATATTTCCCAAATGTATATACAGATAAATAATGGTTACATACATATATCCTTTATAAGCATACATAAATCATATATACAATATATGAATTTACATATATACACTTCATATATATGTGCACCTATTCAATAATATATATTTCTAAACATCTGGATATATAATATATAAACATCTATTTACTTGAATCATTCGCCAATATACAGTGAAAAAAAATGAAAATATTAACCATATTAATATTTATTAAAATTTTCAAGATCCTCCTTATATAATAACAAAGAAATAAAGTTAACATAAGCAAATTTAGAAAGAATGAAAGTAACTTAAAGTCCTGACAAAAACATAATCTAGTTTTTGTATTAATGAACAAGAGTATAAGCTTCTTAATATTTCACTGTTTCTTGATATTAGTCCTGATAACATTATGAACACCACCGATTTTCCAGTAACTTATGCTCACATACCTCTTTTAATCTGGACAAAACAAGAGCAAGCATTTGAATTTTATGAA